CAACCAAGCACAGACAGAGAAAACTTAGGCAATGGGAATATTGTGTGCATAAAAGGAAATATTCTTCCTTTACTTTAAAGCAAGTTCTTACTTTAGAAAGTAAATAGATAACATTCTCTTAACAGTGTACTGGAAGGTAAAAATAGTAATGCTGGTACTGAGCAGAGCAGTAAAATATATTTATTTTCTGCCTCAAAGTCTTCAGGGTTACTAAGTTATTCTCCCAATTTAAAAGTCTGCTAAGGTAAGAAAACAGGAAATTGTATTTGTTCCCTAGTTCTTTTGAAACTTAATTTTTAAAATTATTTATTTATTTATTTTTGGCTGCATTGGGTCTTCGTTGTTGGGTCTTCATTGCTTCGCGCAGGATTTCTCTAGTTGCGGCGAGCAGGGGCTACCCTTCATTGCGGTGCGCAGGCTTCTCATTGCGGTGGCTTCTCTTGTTGCAGAGCTCAGGCTCTAGGCATGTGGGCTTCAGTAGTTGTGGCACGTGGACTCAGTAGTTGTGGCTTGCAGGCTCTAGAGCGCAGGCTCAATAGTTGTGGCGCACGGGCTTAGTTGCTCCGAGGCATGTGGGATCTTCCCAGGCCAGGTCTTGAACCCATGTCCCCTGCACTGGCAGGCAGATTCTCAACCACTGCACCACCAGGGAAGTCCCTGAAACTTAATTTTTAAAGACTGAAAATCCAAAGCAATTCAAGTATGTAATTGCATGCAACTCACAACTGATTTTGGTTTTATGTCAAATTTTCTAAAGATAAAACTTCACAATGTGAACCCACTGTCTTGCATAACTTTAAATGAAAACTACATCTGTTATAGGCTGCACACTGTAATCTTAATTTGTAGTCAGCTTTAAAATTAAATTGTCATTTCCTACTAATTATGGCACCTTAGTGTTTTGAATTAAAAGTGTACTCAGAACATTTCATCTGGAGTCCCCTAATAGTGTTCATTCATCCTCTTAAACACTCTGGTGACAGGGAACTCACCATCCATCAGCAGCCTGCTCCACTGTGGATAGCTCTAATTCTGACACACACTTCCTAATGGCGAGCTCACCTCGCCCCCCCCCCCCCCAGAACTTCCATTCCATGGTCTTGGCTCCATTTGCTGAGGTTCCACATAATAAATCCAATTGTTTTCATATTCTCGATGCCATTCCATTTTCCCAGTTAACTGAAGTATTTTTTAAACATCTTATGATTGTACTCCAAAACTTGTTGACTCAAATTCCAGCCCACAGTGGGAACAACCCACTTCTTTCCATCAACACCACCACTCTAGTCAAAGCCGCCATCATCTCTCAGTGGACAGCTGAACCTGGTTCTCCTTCCCACTCTCATTCCCTTCAGTCTATTCCCTGGAGATCAGCCAGAATGATCTCTGCTAAAGAAATTTTCACTATGTCTCAATCTGTTAATAACCCTTCAGTCCTCTCCTCAATACTGGAGATAAAAATTCAAAACCCTCAGTGTGGCCTGTAGAACCTGTCAACCTGGGTCCTGTCAGCCCCCCAGGTCCATTTGCTGGCTATTCTCTCCCTTACTTGACATGCTGCATCTCCAACTTTTTTCAGTTCTTCAAATTAACAAGCTCTTTTGCTCAGGAAAGCCTTCAGAGATGTGGGTCTATGAAATGCTTTTTCCACTCTGTTTACTATTTGAGAAGTAGTGAAGTTCAGGTCTCAGATTACATGTCCTTTCTCCAGAGAAAATCTTTCCCAAATCCCCAACCTAGACCAAGTCCTTCTGTAATCTCTCGTTGCCCCTTTTACCATCCTTCATCAAATTTATCATAATTTATATATACTTCATTCCATAAATAATAACATTATTAATAACAATACCTAGATTAATTGAGGGCTCGCTACATGCTGGGAACTGTGCTAAGACCATCACAAGCATGATCTTATTTAGGCTTCAAAGCAAGCCCATGAGTAATTACTATTGCTACCTATATATCACAGATGAGGAAAGTGGGTCTTGGGAAGGTTAACGTGAGTGGAAGAGTGGGGATTAGAATCCACTCAATTCTAGAACCTATTGATGTTCTTAACCTTTTCATGATAATGCTGATATCTGACTTTTCCACTAACCTCCTAGCTCCAAGAGGCGTGGACACCAATAGCCAGGAAGCCTGTCATAAGCAAATTATGGTCCTGTTTGCCCAATGCCACAAAATCAGAATAATGTCTCTGTACTTTTTCTCTGCACTACCCTCTCCTATTTTTCGTGGCACTCAAATACCTAAGAAAAGGAGAAATTAAATGAGTAACTCTGGTATTCTTGTCTTGACCTCTCTGGAGACTTCTTGAATTTTTAAGGCACTTACCAGAAAACAAATAGAGAACAGGAGATGAGCAGTTTAAATACATTTGTATGGATTCATTAGCAGTAGGGTGGATCTAGTGTAACGCAGAATTTAGATGATTTAGAAAGGGGTTTCAGCTCATTTCCCACAATATCTATAATAATAACTGCCAACATTGTTCAAGATTTACCATTTGCCAAAGCTCTATGCTAAGTGATCTGCATGTTATAATCATCACCTCAGCTTAATGAGGTTGGTGCTATTACGATCCCCATTTTACCAGATGAGGAAACAGAGCTGCTGAAAGAATAGTCAAATTGTCTGCTCAGAGTCCACAGTTAGTGAAATTCAGCCCCAGCTGGGCCTGAGGCACTTAATATTGTAGGGCAGCATTGTGCTGAGCAAGGAAAGATTCAAGATATAATCCCACAAACGTGAGGAGTATCTATTAATGCTAAACAATGGGCTGGAAGGAGAAAATAAAAGGGAAAGGGGCATAGCCATGAAAATACGCTTATTACATTGTATCAGAGGTGGTGCCAAGAGCTAGGATAGATACAGAATTGAGATTTAAAGGAATTGGGCAAGGGGATAGACAAAGTTTCCATCTGGGGTGACCCTAGGATTTCTATTATCACAATAAGGATTTGACTCAGCTTGACGGGGCAGAGTAGTAATCTTGGGCCAATTTAAGGTCGTAAAATGGTCCAGAAATAACGATCAGCCAGGTAAATGAGTCATTTATTCATACAACCAGTAAATTGTTAAGGGTCTTCTTTGTACTAGGCATTGCTCTGGGCACTGAATAGCTATAAACTAAACTGAAAAAGTCCCCATTCTTGTGGAGTTTTCATTCTGGTGGGGAAGAGAGACAATAAAAGAACAAGTCTGCATGCACATGTATAATGTGTTAGGGGTGGTGGGTGCTGTGAACTTGGTAAACTGGTCAAGGGGACAAGAGAGTCTGGAGAGGTTGTGGGGGCATCAGGGCAGGTGCCTTGATTTTTCAGAGACCCAGTTTCCTCAGAAACCAGAGAAAGTAAGGGTCTGTGCCACTGTGTGTATCAGAGGGAAGAGAGTGCCAGGAAAAGGGAAGAGCAGTAGCGAGGAGCTCCCTGTGGTTGGAGTGGAGGGAGCAGAGGGAGAGTGGGAGGGGAAGGGTTAGGGATGAGCTGGGACAAGCCCTGTGGGGGCAGAACTTTGAGACTCTATAGGGATAAGGGCTTTCATTAAACTCCTACTATATGGATATATGGAGCACTTCTTTCTGAGTTTCTTTGAAAAATTAAAATATTTCTTAAAAATAAAAAAATGCTTGCAATTTTATCATCTAACATGGCCTTTTTCAGTTTCATATGTTCTTGTCTAGTCTTTTCCATATTCATGCACATTTTATGTTTTTTTCATAGTTATAAGTGCCTGTACATTTTGTTTGTTTTACTTAGTTTCAGATCATACTTGGTTTTTTTGTTTTCATTTTTTAATTAAAAAATTTTTAATTAATTTTTTATTGGCATATAGTTGATTTACAATGTTGCATTAGTTTCTGCTATGCAGCAAAGTGAATCAACCATACATGTACCTATATCCACTCTCCTCCAGACTTCATTCCCATATAGGTCATTACAGAGCACTGAATAGAGTTCCCTATGCTATACAATAGGTTTTTATTTATTATCTTTTATATATAGTAGTGTGTATATGTCAATCCCAATCTCCCAATTTATCGCCCCTCCCTTTCCCCCTTGGTAACCATAAGTTTGTTTTCTACATCTGTGACTCAATTTCTGTTTTGTAAAGAGGTTCATGTGTACCACTTTGTTTAGATTGCACATATAAGCGCTATCATATGATATTTGTCTTTCTCTGTCTGACTTACTTCACTCATTATGACAATCTCTAGGTCCATCCATGTTGCTGCAAATGGCATTATTTCCTTCTTTTTTATGGCTGAGTAATATTCCATGGTATATATGTACCACATCTTTATCCATTCCTCTGTCAATGGACATTTAGGTTGCTTCCATGTGCTGGCTATTGTAAATAGTGCTGCAGTGAGTATTGGGGTGCATGTACACTTTCAAATTATGGTTTTCTCTGGATATATACCCAGGAGTGGGATTGCTGGATCATATGGTAGTTCTATTTTTAGTTTTTTAAGGAACTTCCATACTGTTCTCCATAGTGGCTGTATCAATTTACATTCCCACCAACAGTGTATGAGGTTTCCTTTTCTCCACACCTGTTCCAGCATTTATGGTTTGTAGATTTTTTGATGGTGGCCATTCTAACTGGTGTGAGGTGATTACCTCATAGTTTTGATTTGCATTTCTCTAATAATTAGTGATGTTGAACATCTTTTCATGTGCCTCTTGACCATCTGTATACCTTCTTTGGAGAAATGTCTATTTAGCAGATCATACTTATTGTACAGGTTGATATAAAGCCTTCTGAATAATCAGTCTAATGGTTGCATAATATTTCAAGTGAATGTACTACTACTTCCTCTTGGACACTTGGTTGGCTTCCAAATGGTCCCTATGACTGGTGATGCACAAATATTTTTCTAGCTTTGGATTATTTGAGAGCCCTTCCTCTTCCTCTTAATATTTACATATAGTGACTTTGCATAGATATGAGGTATTTCTTGATAATCCCTATGGGTTTGAAGTTATGAGACTAATTACCTGCTGATGATAGTGGTCACCTTTTCAGAATAGATGTCTTCTGGCACTGGTTCATATACCGCCTCCACTATCTGCAAAACAAACAGACTAGAAAGATGGAAGTAAAGGAGCCACAGGTGCCTTTGAGTGGTGATACTTGGCCACGACACAAGAGTTACTTAAAAAGCATCATAATTTCATGCACATATTTTCATCAGAAACAAAAATATCCCAGCAAATTAAAAATTAGCATTAATTAAACTGTTCTTGAGCATAGAATTGTATTCTTCAAGCTGAGTTAAAGTTAACCTCAGATTCATAATAAATGATGTGTAGGATAATACGATATGATAGATTGAGGGCAGTTCAAACCACAATTAAGAATAAAAGACCAAAAGCAGTTTGATATATTTATTTTTATAATTTTCTATGATAAATTGAAGACAATTATAAGGGGAAATGTGCCATAGCACATGATGTAGATTTAGAAGAAAGGAGGAAAAATAAACTGGATCATGTGGTTAATAAAACAATGACTGCTTTTAAGTGACAGTTTTATTAAAATCACTAAGGTTCTACTTAAGAAGAAAAGGAATGGTGTTTTTGGCAACATGAGACCCTTTTGTCTTCCAAGGTTGCTTACTTTTGTGGCCAGGGAGAGCATGTTTGTGCTGTAGAAGGGAGGATTCAGAGTCGCCATCTGATAAAGGATGCAGCCTGCTGCCCAGACATCAGCCTTCTCCCCATACGGCTCACTCTTCAGCACCTCAGGGCTGAATTAAAATAAGGATGTTAATGCACAATGAAAAAGGGAGAAGTCAGTACAGAAAAAAGTTCAATTTTCAAGCTATAGTTGGAGATATAAGAAAAGAATGGAAACTCGATCATCATTTCAAGTAAACATATTAAGATGTATCTTTGAATTCTCTCAGACTCAGGTGAATCAAGAAGCACAACCAAGCAATTCTAATTTAAGCAATAAATGTCAATAAACAACTCCTATTAAATGTCCTTTTACTTCCAGAAACAACTACCCCTCCGTGGTAGACGGAATGATTGGCCCCAGTTCTCTCTCTTCTGGAGGTTTTGAATACCCCACTCCTTCTTCTTGGTGGGCAGTGTTTGCTACCCACTCCTGCCTTTGCTTTTGTTGTGTTGGCCAGTGGAATGTGGAAGTGTCAGTGCAACAGATCAGGGCCTCAGTGTTAACAGGTGTTGAGTGCTTTTCATTTGTCCCTACAGGAGCTTCTGTCCAAAAGACCATTGTATCCCAGGTAGCTAGGATAGCCCAGCCTAGGCCCAGCACAAGACACATGGAGCAGATCTGCACACATAAACCTGCAGCCTGAAGGAGACCCAGCCCAGGAGACCCACAGACCTGTGAGTCTGACAATAAATGCTTATTGTTGAATGCCACTGAGATTTCATGGTGATTTGTTATGCAGCATTATTATGAGCAAAATTGACTGACATAGCACCATCCCTCTGCTATTCAATGCTAGCTTATAAAGTAGGAAGCAAGACCATATTTAAATGTGTTGCAGAAAATGACAACTTCCATCATGTTCATCTCTTCTGAAATTTCATATCTAGTCTGAATAAGGATGCTGTCAGCCTTTAAATGAAGTTAAGCTGTGAGGGTTTATGGGCTTGACATTTTTTTTAATTTGGAGGGGTGGGTAGTTCCCTTGGATATTTTGAACTGATAGAAGTTTCCTCTCTCATATTTGTAGACTGAAACTCAGCAAAGTGTTAAAAGCACTCAGCACACACACACACCCTAAATTAAGTAGTTTGATGATTCAGTTCTAAAGTATGTATTTAGGACTGTGCTCAACCCTCTAAATTAATGGAGTAGGAATTAATGGTTAACTTGGGCAGTGGACTAAGATATAAAGAAACTCATAAATTGGTATCAGTACAGAGCAAGTATTGGCTGTTAAGAATAACCAAGGAGTTGCAATTCTTGTGAGATTATGGAGAATGATTCCTGGTTTAAGATTTACATTATGTATTTACAGAAGAAGTGTGATTTCAAGATCTCTCAGTTAAGCATTTCCATAGGTACTGTCTTTGAGTTCAATAATATGGCAATGGGGGAATCCGGAGTGATTTCCAGGGCTCTACTGGTCCTAAGTGTATAAAAGTGTCCCCTGTTGTCACTCGATCAACTGCTCACATTAAAAAATGCCATAAAAGGAAAAAAATGTCTTCAACAAAAAAATGTCCTTGGCTCTACACAAATGGCTCATGTTTTAATCTACTGAGAACTCAGAAGATTTGTTTCATGTTTCCAAAAGCTCAGGAAGCAGGTGCTGTGAGTGCTCCACCCATCACCCCCTCAGATCTCTTTTCCATTTCCTGTTTCTTGTGTGCTTTCACTCTCAACAGCCAGTGTCTGTACTTCTCTGGAGGACAGCCTTCATTTTTCCTCAAAAGATAACTACTCAGTGTAGAGGAAAACTCTTGTAAGAGTAGAATTTACTTAGTTTATTTTTCTCATCATTCCATCTCTTCCTTCATCTCACTAGAGACCACACACTCCTTTCATCCCCACAGGCATGCCCCTTTGCAATATGGCTGTGCCGCTCCTCCCAATAAAAGATGGACTCTATTTTGTACCCCTTGAATCTGGGCTTAACCATATAACTTGCTTTGGCCAAGAAGACATCAGGAAAAGTGATGCAAGGAGAGAATGGAAAAGCACTTACTCTTTGTGGCTTGCTCTCTCTTCCTGCTCTTGAAAACCCTACGATCACAAGCAGGTGATTGAGCCCAGGCTTGCCTGCTGGATGATGAGCATCACATGGCTCAGTTACCTCCAGCACCCCTACCCACAGCCACTCTACCACCACATCCATCAGTGAAGCCTTTGAAAACCAGGTGACCACAATGCACAGGTGAGCCCAGACAACACAGATAAGCAATCCCAGCTCAAACCAGCCCACAATTTGCCAGCGCACAGTATATTGAGAAGAAGAAGAATAAAAAGGTTATTGTAACCACTAAGTTTTGAGGTCCTTAGTCAAAGTTAACTGACATGACAGCTTTCATCAGATTCTCAAAGCTGTCCATGCCTCCCTGAAAAAGACAGAGAATCACTTCTCTGGAAGAGAACAAGAAAGGGCAATAAAAGACAACACAGTTGCCAACTATCACTTTGCTTCTGGGGTCCAACTTCAAATATTCTCTAAGATAAAAGAGTTTCATAATTACAATTAAAAGCAATGGCAAACACAAGACAGAGTCTGATTTCCAAAAGTCACACAAAATGTTCTGTTATGTTATGTGTGTCCCCCCAAAATTCATGTGTTGAGTCCCAACCCCCAGTACCTCAGAATGTAACCGTATATACAGATAAGGCCTGCATGAGCTGATCAGAGCTGCCATTGGGGTGGCCCTAATCCAGTATGACTGGTGTCTGTATTAGAAGAGGAAGAGACACCAGGAGTGTGCAAGGAACAACCACGGGAAGAGGCAGGAAGAAGGCGGGGCTGGCATTTGCGAGCCAAGGAGAGGCCTCAGAGGAAACCAAACCTGCCAACATCTTGATCTTGGATTTCAGCCTTCAAATAAATTTCTGTTGTTTAAGCTACCCAGGCTGTGGTATTTTTTTAAGGCAACAGGTTCTATGAAGAAAAACTATTCATGTGTTTTTCATCTTTAAAAAGAACCCAGCTTTTGGGAAATATGGCTAAAGTAATGACTCAATCACTACTTATTTTGGTGATTATTGTTTAGAAAACCATTGTAAAATAATTCACTGTCTTGTAATAATTTCCAATTTCTCCACTTAAGGTGAGCCCAACCACATTTAAAGAAATACAGAGTTACAGCTAGCAATGCTCACTTAAGAGAAAGAAGTTAAATAGTACACACACACACACACACACACACACTTTAAAATGGGCTTTCTCGGGCTTCCCTGGTGGCGCAGTGGTTGAGAGTCCGCCTGCCGATGCAGGGGACACAGGTTCGTGCTCCGGTCCGGGAAGATCCCACATGCCGCGGAGCGGCTGGGCCCGTGAGCCATGGCTGTTGAGCCTGTGTGTCTGGAGCCTGTGCTCCGCAACGGGAGAGGCCACAACAGTGAAAGGCCCGTGTACCGCAAAAGATAAATAAATAAAATAAAATAAAATTGGTTTTCTCTTTCCCAATCAGAAATATTACTCTGTATTTTAAAAGCTGGATATTCCTATGTGATTTGGTCATCTAAAATCTTTTAATGGTAAAGTAAAGCATAATTTATGATATTTAATAAAAATAAGGGCTTTTCTGGTAAAGATTAAACATATGCAATTAAATGTGTAAAAAATTACAGCCATTATAAGTTGTACTTCAATTAAAATATTATCATTTTTATTATTGCTGACCTAACGTACATGGTGACTATATTTAATAATAATGTATTGTATACTTGAAATTTGCTAAGAAAGTACATCACAAGTAATGTGATAATTGAATCTTTTGAAGTAATAGATATATTAATTAGCTTGGTTGTATAATCATTTCACAATGTATACAAATATCAAAACATCACATTGTAAACCTCAAACATATACAATTTTTAATTGCCAATAATACCTCAATAAAGCTGGAAAAAATTTTAAGTGAAGCCAGGGATAGTATAGTTAGGTAGATGGCAAGGATGTTCTTTACTTATTACTATATTTTAATAAATAAGTCAACATAGCTCATAATCAGCAGCCTTTGAGAGGGGGCTGGAGGAAAGTTTATCTAAATACTACCTCTGTTTTAAAAAGGCATAAATTTACAAACTGATAATGAAAACAATGTGGAAAAACGATGAGGAAGGAAGGATGCTTAATATAATTTTTTAAAAAGAGAAACTGTTTAGATTTTTAAATTCCATTAGTAGTCCCTCACTGATGTGAACAATTAGGTTGCTAATTGCCAAAGATTCTTATTTACTCATTATTGAAGTAAACAAGGAAAGTATTGAATCTAGATGTTTTTCAAAACAGTTTAAAATATGAACATTTTGCTATTTCACAAATAATTCAATACTGTGATGATTTATGTAAGTTGGGAGGGGGACTTCTTTCCTTTAAATGCAACAAAGTACATTCACAAAGTAAATGAAATGAAATGATATGTTAAAAGGTTCTGAGCGTAGACAGTATATTCTTCTTTCCTACAGTGGTCATGTTGTCATCTTTGTTAAAAGTTTGATTATTGTGCTCATTTTGTCAGCACATATACTAAAATTAGAATGACACGTGAAAATTAGCATGACCTCGGCACAAGGATGACATGCAAATCTGTGATGCATTCCATATTTTAGAGGCAGTAAGATGACAGGCAAAAGATGAGGACTATAGTTAATAAAGTTGTTTTCTCATAGGGGTAAAGATTAACAATTTTGATACTGCTATACATGTATACCAGAATTCAACAATTAAGTAAATGAGTGGCAGATGGCAGAAGCCAGGTTTCTCACTATTGGAGTGGAAGAAAGGTTACAGATAAGCAAGGAAAGGAGTAGGGGTACTCTACAAGGAGGTAACAGATTAGAGTTGGAGACAACAGCATAAACCCATGTTTAGCTTAATATTAATATAGATGGTTACATATGAAAATATTTATAGTTATGTGAATATACACAGGTTACTATGCACATATATATCCTTGCACATATATATCCTATGCACATATATATCCTTTCATTCTGTCAGATGAAAAGGCCTAGAATTGATAGTAGTATTGATATCAATAGATAGATATAGATATCTGATATCTATATATCAGATAT